TCTCTCTCTCTCTCTCTCTTTCCGCAGGGTTATGGGCAGGTCTCTCTCTCTCGCTCTCTCTGTCTCTCTCTCTCTCTCTCTCTCTCTCTCTCGCTCTCTCTCGCTCCAGCATTTCGGCAAAGACAGAAGCGTCGTCCGGTGCCGGTGTGATGAGGGGCAGACAGAGGTTCTGCAAAAGCCGAGTTGGGGTTTGACGGCTGCTCTGAAAATTTGTGCCACTGATCTACCAACTACCTGGCAGCTCCCAGCACGCAAACACCATGAATTGTCGTCGGCACACTCACGAGAGTATAAGTTAACCCAAATGTTGAGGTTCGCATATATGGTAGTATAAATATGGTAGTCTTGCCTGCGGCAACGCCGCCACCAGTAGCACCACGCCGCCCCCCCCCCCCTGCCCCCCCTCGAGCACCAGCCCCACGACCGGCTCACCACCAACAACCCCAGAAGAAAGAGCAGACGAAGTAGCTCGAGTTCATACGGTATGAGTTCATCACACTCTTAAACTGAAAAGCTTCAGGTACGGCTTCAACTGCATCATCTGACACTCTATAACGGAATCGAACACTTGAACTACGAGTCCTTGAGCTGCTTTCAAGTCGCATCTCGAAAGCCATGAATGCAACATTGGCAATCAACAGGACCGAGAGCACCGACTCGAAGGCCTCTCCATGGGGGCGAGAGCGAAAAAGATTGCCCACAAAAGTCAGGCTGTGCGTCTATGTGTCTTCGGGTCTTCGTTGATGTATCGTGGATGGGGTCGCTTGGCTCCAACATTAGTGTTTGTAGTCTGAAGTTGAAGTCTGATGGAGAGGAGTAACTGAGTAGCTAACTTGTCGAGCTTCTCTCCCCATGGAGCACTTGTCCAAGCCTGAACAACCACTAACGCTCATTTAAAAGACATGCTCCAGATGGTCGCAAGATGTTAAGTAATTAACGTACATCGGTTCTTTTTCCAGACGGCTCTACTCTAAAACGGCCAGTAGTAGGATCGGCATCGCGTTCGTGTTCAGACACGCAAACATGACGGTGCTGTCGCGCAACTGGCAGAGAAGCCGCGGAGAACTTGTCTAGGGCCAGCAGGTGGCCAAAATTATCCCCGGCTCCAACATACCAGCCTTGAGACTAGTTCAATTTGTGAGAGTGACAAAAACCTCCACCCGACGGTTTCGCGTACCTTGGATGGTCTGCTCATCCAAGTTGGCGGGCTTAGACTCCAAAACAGGAAGCGACCCGCTCGTCTCGCGGGGGGAGAGGGGGGCGAGAGGTCAACTTGCAAAAGGGTGGCTCTGCTCATTCTGATTATGAAATTATGATGTTTATCGCTTGCCATCGAAGTCCCTGGCCCTGGCCTGCCCCTGAAGAAAAGCAGCAAGACGTGCGTTCACGCTTTGGTCTTCGCCCTCGTTCGTTTCCTGCGGCTGGCAGTTGCGGCAGGAGGACCAGGCACGCTTGGGTCAACCAGTTCATTGCTCTCATCCCTATGTCCTAAGTTTTGTCTGTACTTGCTTAGCCTGCTTATCTGGATCTGTGCACTGAATGCCCAGATCATGGACTCAAAGCTCTCTGCGCGCCGAACTTCGAGCAACCTTCCAGCTAAGCTCAGAAAGCCCAAAAAAACCTGCTCGAAGGACAGGTCGAACTGATCGAAGTGCTCCATGGAGTTGAGCCAACTTCCCTGGTGGCTTTGCTACTCCGTTTCTATGGCCAAAGACCTTATCATACGCTTCGGGGGATTTCAATGGACAGTGCATACATGAGGGGATTCCAACGGACAGTGCATACATGAATTATAGTTAGTTACGCAGCAACATCTTTTGTGCGCAGATGCCCGCAGCAAAGGCAGCCTCTACGCTGACGTCGCCACGGTGCTGGGCAGATCCACCCATCTCACTCGATGGGGACCTAGGCGAAGCAAAGGATGAAATTCCAGGAGCCCTAGGCGGCCGAAGCTCCGTGTACCCGAGACCTTCAGCCCTCAAGCTGGGCCCTGTCACATGACGGGCTTGCAACTTTCCGCCTTAGGCTTATGAGGAGCGTCATACGTGCCATGACGGCTGCTCTTGCAGCATCCCAAACGAAGTAGGAGCAGGCAGCCTATTCTGCTCCATTCCCAGTAGTGTTGCGTGTCGAGTTTGCTGGGGATGCTTGCAAGGCACTTCCGGAAGTCGCTGCTGGCCCGCTCTCTGCTGGGGCTAGGATCCCCTGCGCCAGCAAGAGGTGAGGCGAGGGCTTACTGCCTTAAAGGTTTTACGTTTCGGGTTCGGGTGAGTTTACGACCCATCCAGCTTCGCAGCAGGACGATGGGGCTGCTGTATTCAGACTGTGTAGCATTCCAGGGAAGGGGCTGCCTGAGCAAAACCAGCACCATATCTCTGAGAATGGAGGACGGCAACCTGGCACGCAAAAAGTCCCGAGGTACCTGCAACTACATAAAACGAAGCAGCAGAAAGGGGCAGCCTCGTTCCGAAATCATTCGATGTAAGAAACGAACCGCGAAAACAGCAGCACGCATACTCGCAGGACCAGGCCCAAATGACAGCAGCAAGACAACCGTACATCGCCCACAACAGGAATGCTAAAACGTCCTCACAGCCGACGATGGCCTCGGTCTTTGCTGGTCTCACGCTCCCGGAGCTCACGTCCCCGAGCTTCGTCGCCTTTTCAACTCAAGGTGCTTGGCTTTCAGCAGTTTCCCATAACGATATGACCAGACTGTGTTGCAGGGGTAGACGGGTCCCAGTCAGACCCGCACTTCTTTCTACCCGTTTTGCGCAGGCTGGCCATCAAGCAAGAATCTTCTCCAAGTCGCCGCAAGGTGAGCCCTGCCGAGAGAAGATTCTGTCTCTCCCGCGAGCTTCCTCTGATGGAGAGCCGTCCCTGCGGATGATGGTAATCCTCGGCACAACCCATGGCAGAGCAGTCCATTGCAACAGCTCTCGCTTGTTCAAGCTCCTTCCCTGCTAGATTCAAGTCGTGAAAAAGTCTGCTAAACCAGGAGACAAGATTCTCAGGAGTCATCCTCGAGACTGATGTGCCTCCTGTGGTATTAGGAGACTCTGGAGATGAAGCCTCTGGCAATGGTGGCAATGTCACGGAGGCCTGCGGGAGTTGCAAGACGGTTGGACTGTTGAAGCTGCGGGAGGCTTTCGGGAAACATGCTGCAAACAAGTTCACATAGGGAAGCTGTTTCGACACCGTCCGACGAGGTCTAAGTCTAAGTCGAAGAGAGACTGTTCATCATGGCACGAAAGACGTCCCGAGGATAATTGGATTCCAGACCTGACTCTGTCGTCAGCATGTACATGTCCTTTCATCTCACGACGGTCGTGCAAAACCAACTCAGAATGAGGAATGTAGATATGCACCACGAAATATTAAAAGTGTAGCAAGATATGCATTGTGCCACAAGTGCGCGCAGCCTGCCTTATTGACAGGCCAAGTCAGCTGGATCCGAAGACTATGTCAAGTTCAGACTCTCTTGCCTTGCCCCTCCTGTCGAGTGTCATCTTGTTTCATGGTCCGCGTCGGCTCTTATGTATGGACGAGGGTATGACGAGGGCCATCAGGCTCGGCCGCAATGCCACAGTATTCTCAACACCCCGTCCACCGTAAACTATTCAGAAGCTCAACTCCACAACCATCGCAGAAGCAGCTCTCCAATCGTCACCTGCTTCTCCGACTGGGTGGATGGCCCCGATATGGCCGATATTGTAGCCATCGGGGGCTCCTGAATCGTCTGAGCAGCATTGACTTCCTGCGCACGGTCAGATGCAAGCCATGAATTGGGGACTTGAGGGCCAAAGTCATGCAATCGTTATGAATGTATATGTGTATATATATACACATACACGAGTATGTATATACGCACATACATATGCGTATTTTACATGTACACGTACATATTCATGTACATGTTTGCGTATGTGTATGTGTATGTATATATATATATATGTATATGTCAGTATATGTGTGTGTATGTGTGTATGTATATGTATATATATATATACGTGTATGCATGTATGTGCGTATGTATGTCTGTCTGTCTACTGCATGTTCAGAACATGCTCATGTCGAGTGCAGCAGATGAGAAACTGTTGCTCACTTTCAGTCCGGATAAGCCGGATGTCAAGGCATCTCAGCTGTTTCGAAGGGGGTCTTCAAGATTGTCGAGCTTTTGCTGTCCAAGATCTCAGCTTAAACAAGTATGTGCATATTGGCGGCAGCTTGGCAGTTGCTGGCTGCACTAGGGTACCGAAAGTTTCGCCCCTGGAATGCCCCTGGACCTAGGAGCAAGAGTCTTTCGCAGCTTGCAGATAGCGGCTTGATCCAATACAGAAAGCAAAGTGCATGAAACGAGATGTCCAGGCCTAGTATTCATGACTGAAATTGGCCCTGTTGATGTTGCGGTCAGGGGTGCATATACATACGATACCTGTACTACTGCAGAATCCTCTTAGTGCAGACGCTGCCCCTTTGTATTTGTTTTTTTTTCGCAGGCTTGGCTTGTCGAGGTCACGCAGAGAACGGCAGACACTACCCTTAAATCCTGAAGCCAAAATAACCCCAAATACAAATAGTCCTAAGCAGGCATAGCGCCCAAAAACAACCCTTTTTTTGAACCCAGACGCTGCCAATCAGCTGGGAAGCGGCGCTTCCCTAAACACACCAAAACCAATTTACTCCTTGACATGCTCCACAGCGAGGAGTCGAAGCAGCCTACTGAACTCCGCGGAGCAGGCTGGCATCTTCACCTGCTCGGGGTTCCCGGTAAGGGTTCCCTGTCAGGGTTCCGTTAAAAATGAGTTCTTGACAAAGCCTCCTACAAACTAGGTTCGTGTAGGAGTTCTGGAAATTAACAGGGCTCTCGCTCCTTCAGGGATTGCTCTAACAGATCCGGCTGGTCTGACATTGCTTTCTTGGGGGCACCCGGGCAGATTGCTCTTGTAACAATGCCAGAGGCATAAGCAAAAGAGTGTTCGTAGTGAGAAAACATGCACAGTTGGCTTAAAAGTCTCCTGCACAGACAAAAACCATATGAGTTGGGGCTGCGAGGTGGCCTTGTCAACCGCTCAGGGAGTACGGAGCCAGAAAATTTCATTCAGGCAGAGCCTCCGTGGGGCTCTGCATGACAGCTTCGCTTGCCCAGCTTGGCCAATCCGAAACTCAGCATTCATATCTTTAAACGTGTAACCCTATCATGCTGAATCCTGCTGCAGTCACATTCTTGCAGCTTGGCCAGGACATCAACATCCACTCGCCGCGAAAATGTCGGGCCCGCCCCTGTACGAATGCACAATACGGTGGACCTCGCGGCTCCTTGGTGGAGCCGGCATGGCGCGGCCGGAAACCCGGAACCCCCCTCCTTAGAGGGGGAGAACCGGGCGCAACGTCTCCAAAGGCTGTGTTCTCTTTGAGTAATGGCGTTAGAGGTCTGCACTTGGCGCGAGGGCCTTTGTTCGCTCCAGGCGCGGTTGCTACCAAGGCTCTAGGCTGCTGTGAGGTTTCCTTCAACACAGGCTTCAAGATCTGTGTCTGCTTGCTACCTCCCGGCTGCTTGTCTTTTGATCCAGGCTGTGGAGTTGATCAAGTTCAGTCCTGTATCGGGAGATAGTCAGGTCCGGGGTCACCTCATGTCTACGGCTTGCTGGAGCCAGTAACGCGGCAGCCAAAAGCCCTCGTGCACAACATGCCCGCCGCTGATCACGTGAACTAACCTTCCAGGAAAATGACAGCTGCTTCACTGCCTCATGGCCTATGAAACCACCCCAAGCTCTCAGATGCCGTACTATTCCTGAGAACTTGCCCGGAGCCTAATCTTCTGGTTTGAGCCATGCCCCCCCAAGCCCTCAGCGTTCCCTAATCGCAGCCGGCAGGCTCATCCGTGCGGTCGTCGCCACAAATCAAGACCTGGACCCCACCACCCATGTGGGAAGCTGGCGCCTTATCTATCTTTTCTGAAAAGCTTCGGGCGAATTCCAGGTCGGAGCTTGGGAAGTCGCAAGACTTGTAAGGGATTGGAGAGTAAGGATAGCCTCATGCAGGATGTGAGCACGCAGTCACACGAGTCGGTACATATCCGAAGCAGAAAGGCATCTTAATACGCACCTACACTTACAATCACACCCACGCTGACCCGTGCGTGCACAGACACTTGTTCGACCCTTGGTTACGAACCCTCCCGCAAGGCCTCTTCAAAGCGGCTGCGCATGCTTTCGTGCCTCTGAGCAGGGACAGCCGCTGCACTCGGGCAATGCGCAACGTTCATCACGCAGCCTTGTTGTTCTCTTGTTAAGCACAGCCCTGAGGTGCAAACTCCAAGAAGCAGGTCACACCCAAAACGCCTGGGGCACTTGAAGCTGGAACCAACCACCTAATCAAATCCACGCCCAGCCAAGCTGCTGCTGCACGGCATTGCCGACCACGACGCCTTTCCGAACTGAGAGCGACGCCACCTCTACGATCCTTGCTTGGGTCAGAAAGCAAGGGAGCAGCTCCCACGAAGGAAAAGCGCTTTTCTGTTGTTCGGGGCGGTTTGGTATCCGTGTACGGGGGAACGTCCCGTGAAAGTCATCTGTAGAACGATTGAGCACCTGGTAGGGTTCTGGCAACTCATTCCTTGTAAGATCTTGTAAGCCTATGTACTCACAAGCTTTACGCGGACAACCTTCATCTGCAAAGCCTCGCACGTTGTCTAGAGTATCTGGCTGTCCGGAAAGCAAAGCACGCATTCCTAGTATGCCCAGCGGAAAAAGCAAGACTGCATTGAATATGACCCAACAAATAACCCACTTTCCCCAAATCCTAACCCCCAATTTTAAGCCAAGGATCTTGTTGCCCTGGCTGATGGCACACGGCAGATTCCCCAGCATCAGAGCTAACCTCGGCTAAACACATGTTTTGTCTCTAGTTTCCCAGAGGTTTCTGTGTCGCTGTGCGAGTGGCTTTGGTCGTTTATTGTGCTCGCATTCTGCGCATCCCTCTGAGTTTCAGTGATTCAAGACCCCTCTTCCACAAGGTTCTATTTCAACCCAGGGCTGAAACAACGGGCTTTTCCAGCCTTCCGCGTTGCACCTGCTTTTACCCGGAAGTAATTGAACGCCGCTCCTCACCGAAGGCCGTCTGGCTGCTGGTGCATTAACTCCTTGGCTTTGAACTGGCCATAATCCTGCGAGGGCTGCTTCACTCTTGGGCTGGAGATTGTCTCTGTTTGTGTGTGTGTGTCAGGTGGAGTGCATTCGTCGCTTGATCCCGCAGAGGGAGACTTAGCTCTGCTCTCTCTCTCTGCCCGCATAATTAGCGCATATCATAGCTGCCTCGGCTCTCTCGCGCCCTCGTGACGGGCCTATCATCTGTGTATCTCCTTCTGTCGGCACTTCGCTATATGCGCTTCATGTAACGCAGACCTGGGCTGCTTTTTGGCTCCCGCACGGCAGTCCCCAGACATGGGCTACGACGGCTACGATTCCTACGGCCTTCTTATGTGCTTTTGGACACCTCCAGATGTCCCAGAGTCTGCTCCTCGTCACAGTCTCGATAATGCCAAACTATGGCGGAGGCCTTGTGCTCGATGTATGCACCTTGCAACTCGGTGGGGCACTTAACGTTAAGTTTAGGGCCGGCATCGACCTGGGCACCAGCGACTCCGAAGTCAGAATGC